CATCAGCCAATTTTTGACCCATCCAACTGTGTGTAGGCATCAATGCCACAGTCACTTAATTTATTGATGAGGATGGGGTGAGAGACAGTGTCAAAGGCCTTCTTAAAGTCTAGAAAGACTATGTCCACGGCAACACCATCATCCAAGGATTTAGTTACTTAGTCATAAAAGGCAATCAGGTTGGTCAGGGAGGACCTGCCTTTGATGAACCCATGCTGGTTGCCCCTGAGCATGATCTCCCCCGCTGGCCCCCCACAGATGTACTCCCTGATGATTCTTTCCAAGATCTTCCCAAGCACCAAGGTGAGGCTTACGGGCCTATAGTTACTTGGGTCCTCCTTCCTCCCTTTCTTGAAAATTGGGACCACATTAGCCAAGGGCTCTGCAATGACCCCTGCCAACTCCCTCAATACCCGTGGGTGGAAGGCATCTGGACCTGCAGATTTAAAAATGTCCATCCCTTCCAAAAGATCCCTAACTACATCTGCGCTGACTGAAGGCCTGACAGAGCTATTTACAAGATGCTTCATGGAGATGCTTCTTATAGCTAGGAATTGAGAGAAGCAGTAAATGGTTTGGTTTGCATTTAATGTAAATTAATGATAGATCTGCATATTTCCTGCATACTGGTGACATATTAGCTTATGCTGTCTCACTAGCATTCCTAATGTTTCCTATAGACCTGGAATAATATGGGAGAAGAGCACAGGTCTGTGAAACTTAATAGATTGGCTATTAAGGAACAGCTTCTCACAGTGACCCAGTGGGCTTAATTTGGAGGAGAAACTATTTCTATTTCATAATAGTGCCAGTACCTCTGCATCCGCAGGCAACTGGAATATTTCATGATCAGATCAAAATACTGCATAGCATAGGTTCAACGTGTAGATATAGTTCCTTGCCTGTCATTAGGAGTTCATCCATTGGATCAATCAGGCGATATCAGTTCCTTGTCTGATATGCAGTCAGACTGAAGGACTTAAGATATTGGTGGCTGAGATGATATTGGAAATTCTTCCAATTCCTACTTTTTTATTTACTTGCTTAAAAAAGAGAAGGGTAGTCATTTGTAAGGTCTGTAGCCTACAGAGATGACTTCTTAGCACTGTGCCCTATTTTAAGGTGAACAGAAAATCCCTATTAACCAACAGAGTTTCAGCACCACCTGGTCCTAAGTACTCATAATGCTGCTTTCTGGGTTCTAGGGTTTACAGTGGTGTTCTGGGGCAAATGGAGGCAGTTGTGGTTTATGAGGATATATAGTCTGGAGTGGTTCTGTGTTGTACAATTTTTGGCATCTGTATAAGAGAGCAGAGATTGGGTTTTCTCCATTGTAATGCTGTAGTATAAGTTTGCAGAAATTCTTTGGCTCAGATTGTTTTCTGCTACTGATACTCTAGTTTTTTACCTTTGCCCTCACCCGCATTTTCCCAAAGAGTCTCGTGTGTGGGGAGGAGAGGAGGAAGAAGGGGCCTGTATGATAGGGTAAAATAAAGTGTTTTTACTGCTAGAGCACTGATAGAAATAGTTGGGAAATTGTTCTACTGTCTCTGTAATTGTTACAGCTGGTGGAATTCAGCAAGGGCCAAAAGTGTTTGGTTCAGTCCATTTGCTATAGTTTATTAGATTGCAGTGGGGGGGGGTTGTTTTGGTTTGGGTTTTTTTCTTTTCTTTGTACCTGCAGAAGAGAGTGGTCCAACCAGAATCAGGAGGTGGGTCTCTCTTTAGTGTCTTATGTGCTTATACCTGCTGAGGATACAGGGTCTTGAGTTTCCAAGTTCTGAGAAATGTATCTTTCTGTTGCTGTTCTCTACTTTCCTTTTTCATTTCTTTCCTTTCCTCTTTCTTCCTTATCATCAATGGTATTCTGCACTTTTCTGTCTATAGTTGCTCAACCCTTTCCCTCCCTGGGTATCCTTTCTTTCTCTCTTGTCTGTGTCCCTACCTTTCCCTCTGCAGTCTTCCCCATTGCTGTTATTTATGCCTTTGTTTCTGTCCCCTCTGGAGTTGGGTCTGTAAGTCTCTCCTCCCATTTCATTTCTCTTGCCACTCTACCCTACTGTTTTGCTTGTTGGTTTTTTTTGGTTTGGTTTTTTTGGTGGGGAGTTCTTGGTTTTTTGTTTTGTTTTTTTTAACTTGCTATACCTGTACCTGCTTTCTTCTGGTTTTTTTTGGGGGGTGGGGGGCTCTCATTCTGTATCGTTCTCTGTTTCAACTCTCTCTCTTTCTTGCTTTCACTCTCTCTCTCTGCAACCTCCTCCTCTCCCATCTGTAATCCTTTCTGCTAATCGTTTCATCCATCTCTTTCTATTTTACCCATATAGAGGACTTACCTGTTAAGAGGTTTATAGAAAATCTGTTTCTTTCTGACTCGTTTTTTGTTTAACAGCTTTTAATGGACTCTTCTTACCTGAGCTTTTTGTCATCTTTCAGGTCTTAAAAATCAGCTTGATTGGCCACAGAAAACGCATTTTGGCATCTCTAGGAGACAGGCTTCACGAAGATCCTCCTCAGAAACCACCACGGTCAATAACCCTCAGGGTAAGTTTCTGGTAAATTTGTCTGATACCTCGTAAAGTCTGGAAGAAATGCATAAAAGTCAAAGAAAAATGAATGGTCGCTTAGTACCTTAAGCTTATGGACTGGAGTTCATTACTGTCATTTTCACATTTTTAAAACGCTGCTTGTTTGTTTTTGGTGTAGTGCAGCTTTGCGTGCTTTATTTACAGATAGCTCCCTGAAATCAGTTAAATTAAAATTGTATGGCTATAAGGTGTGTCTGGGTAGCCAGAAAAGTTTTTCTTCTTTATTTTTCATCGGTGTACCCTTCTGCAAAATCCTAATCATGGTGTCCTTTAGGATTTCCATACTTACTGCTTTATGTATATATTTTTATACTCCTCTCTCTACCTCATATGTGCTAGATGTCTTGAATCCCCCTATTTTTCTTTCTTCCAGTGTATTATCCTTATACAGTTGTGCTTTGGAGACCCATCCTTACTGTGGTCTGTCCAAAGTATCTGAGGCTGCTTTTATCCAGACATTTTTATCCAGCTATTTCCCATTTGAATAGTGCAGGGTTGGACTGGCTGACCATTGAAGTCCTTTCCAACCCTACAATTGTATGATCCAATATGAGTATTCCCATGGGAACAGTTCCTTGGACTAGAATTCCGTTAGTCAGAGTGCATACTGCGCTCCCAGCTTATATTTTCTGGTGACTGGAGGTATAGATAGACTGTGAATTGCAGCTGCCTTTCAGGATCTTATTTTAACAGAAAGTTAAGGATTCTCTGGCCACCCTGTTTTCACCCTCTTTACTCTCCAGTGCCATTTACAAAGAACTAAAATCTGGCTTTAATGTGGCATTGGTATCATTGAAGTCATGATTTCCTGTCCTAAGGAATTGCTCTAATAGAAGATATGTTTGTTATACTTAGTTGTATATTGTAAATTGTTTTCTAGCACACAGCAAGTGCTAAAATACTAACAGAAAAGAAATGCCTGCAAGTAGTTCATTCTCACTCAGTGGTTTGAAATCATGGGATTTCTACATATGTGGTAAACTGAATCACCTCCAGATGCAATCAGAATGAGGAAAAGATTGTCAGTGCTTCACAGCTAGAATTACTGGTTCAGACAATCATGAAACATTATTCATCCCTTTGTAGTATTGGAGTCTTTATAGGGAGTCCTAAAGCAAAGGACATTGGTTTGGACTATGATTCTCTCATCCATCAATATGGATGCTGTCCCATAGGAATACTTAGACAAACACAAAGCACAGTATTTACCTTGCAGTATGCACAAATACATTTTTAGTTCTTAAAAATAGTTAAATAAGTGAAATGCATATCTTCTGCTTTAGGAGGCTCTGTTTGTATGTAGTAAATACCTGGTAAATGGAGGCAAAAATAACAAAAATATTATGTACAAAAGATGCATTAATAGCATATTAATAACTTTTCAAAGGCATGAACTCAAAAATTAGGAAATGCCAGAATTAAGCTTTCCTTTGCAATCTTAAGTCACCCCCCCCTTCTATGAAAGCATTATGATACAGTCTTTAATTACATGTTCACATACTCTTTTCTTGATGGCACCCCTGCCTTATTCACTGTGCAGGAGGGATTGTTTTGGGGATGAATCAGGGTCGCATAATGAAGAAGGCTGTTTTCTGTAGAACCTTTCTTCCATTTGTTACAGAAGCTGGAAGAGATGTAATGAACCAGCAACATACAGGAGGAAAAGAAGGATGATTTTGTAGTTGAGAAAGTAAAATATGGCCTGGAAGAACTAGATTTTATCCTTGCATGTGCCAAAGAGTTTCTCAATGATGTTGGGAATGTCACTTACACCATACTTTTCCCTATGTGGTTTTGACTGTGGCTTCATACAGACATTACAGTCAGAAGTTCAGGGGGTTAGACTGGGTTAAAAATGGCCACCCAATCTAATTTAGCAATTAGATAGGTGCCAGGAACCTAAACTAATGTAAGTCAGGGGAGGGTGGAACAGATGGGGGGCTAGCAGGGTGGGCCAGGGGTGTGGCTAGTAGGCTTTGCATGGTGGAAGAGGGGGCTAACAGCATCTACAGGGGGTGAGGGCTTGGCGGAAGTAGTGGGTTCCACAGGTGGCCTTGGGGGATCAGGGGGCTAGCAGCTTCCATGGGAAGGGATTAAACCTGAACCTGCTACCTCCTGTGCCCCATCCGTCACTACTCCTGGGGCCAGTTTTACCAGTGTTCACCTGGAGCCCAATTAAAGTAATTTGGAGAGGGGGGGAGGGATGGGCAGATCAGGGAGACTGGTGGCTTTATGGGTGGACATTGGTGGGAATGGGGGGCTGGCACCTCTGTGGGGGAGGGGTTGATAGGATCAGGGGTCTGCCTCCTCCCGACCAAAAGCTATTTTTACCCCCTACCCCTCCATCCCCAGATGAACAATGCCCTTGCCAAACCAACCCCTGACCTCCCTGATCCTACCCACTCTACCTCCCAGCCCAACCTAGCCCTAGTGCGCAGGGCCAGGTGAGGGCACTGCTGGGTCCCATAGCCCAATCTGGGTTTGGAGGGCTGGCTCTGGGTCCCTGAGCTTTAATCCCAGTGTGGAAGGGGTGGTTTGCTCTGGTCTCCTGGGACCCAGTCCCGGGGCGTGGCGGGGGCAGGAGTCCTGGGTCCCCTGAATCCAATCCTAGTGTGTGGCAGCGGTGCTAGGCCCTCAGGACCCAATTTTGTAGAACAAGGCCCACTGACATTTGGTGGACAGTATTGAATAAGTTTGTTGATCTTGGGAATGGCATGTGCTAAAGCTCATGAGCCACAGAGATTGAAATCGTGTTAGATGTACACCTTGCAGGGGTCGTTTGACCCCGGTACTTTTTCCTGCCAAGGCAGGGAGTTGGACTTGATGATCTGCTCAGGTCCTTTCCCACCCTACCAACTATGAAACTATGAAACTTACTTCAGTCAGCTCCTGGTATGGCAAATACTGGTAAAAACAGCACTGGGAACAGATTGTAGAAATCGGGGGAGTTTGCAGGCTTGGGTCTGGCTGGCCTGGGCGGGAGGGACATGCTCTGTCTGGGCATGGGAGGAAGGGTCAGAGGGCTAAAAATAGCTTGGTGCTGGTGGGATAGGAAAAGCACAGCACTGGGGCTGGGGCCAGCAGCTGGGCTTTCCCTGTCTTGGGGCTGCACTCTGAACATATACAGAAGTGTGGTTAGATTGCTGTAGCCATATGCAATCTAACTTAGTGTACCTCCAAGGTACAGTTAACTTAGATTGCATTGGTCATTTTTGACTGATCTAACCTGCCTGGAACCTCTCTAGAGTATGTACTTAGGTCAACTTAACTAGGGATCTAAGTGTAAGTTCTACACATAGGCAAACTAAATTAGATCATCAGTTGGCCATTTTTAACATGCTCTATTCTAACCTCTTTCTCACATGCCCAAATGTCTGTACATGCTCTGTGCCTGATTTGATCCACCAAATTAAAAGGGTACCAGGAGTTGGGATGACACGTTGGGAAGGGAAGAGGATCAGGGCTGCACTTGGGGATCGGGTGGGAGGTGCCGCTAGCTTGAGAGTTTGGCAAAGCAGGAGCTGGGAATGTAGGTGCCACTGAATTAAGTTTTGCCACACCTGGAGAGCAATGGATTTGACATAGAATGATGGGATTGGCTTATTATTATAGTGGCACCATCTCATACTTTGGGCTTAACTTGTAGTACACTTGCCAACAAGATTGTCCACTACTGCCCTTGACTTTCATAACTTTTTGCCTCAGTTTCTCCTCTCTAACATGATGATGATAGTACCTCTTCATCTCACCAGGGTATTGTAAAAATAAATTTTGTGAAGCACTGAGTAAGAATGGCTCTGGTAAGAATGGTATACCAGCCACAGAGGTGTTCTACTAAAAGCATCTTGTAGACTGTCTTTGTAGCTGGTTTGTATCACTCAACAATTTGAATTTGTGACATCTTAAAGTTGAGTGGTACAGCCCTGTGCCAAGTTGCAGCACTCAGTTTCACAGGCACCAAAAAGGGGGAGCCACTGGGCTCCCTCTGCTTGGGAAGTTTAACCCATGCCAGGCAGCCCTACAAGAGGGAGGGAAGTTTCAATTTATCTACAGCCTGCATACTCTTAGAGAATTCACTGTAAGTGAGATTGCCCTACATTTGGGTTTAAACTTCCCAGATGGAGGCTACTAATTTACTGTGCAGTAAGCGCCTCCATGTGTAGAAGGTGATGCTTTACTGGGTGTGTCTACACATGGGCTTAGGCTGGCTTAAATTTACTGCACAGTAAATTACTGCTCAGTGAATAGGAATAGGCCGGTGTCTACATGTGCAGACAACCTGGGGCTAAATTTAGTCTCAGGTCAGAGCAGCCTGCCATGTTCCCCTGTGGCCACCAGGGGGAGCTCCAGTCTCCAGCCACATGGCTGCCAGCCCTTGGGACTAACTTTAGCCCCAAATTGAAGCCAGGAGACGTGGCCAGCCAGGAGTCTTGGGGCTGGGCTCAGGGAGGCCCCCTGAGTTCCTGCTCAGCAATGCATGTATATATGCATTACTGCATAGAAACTAATCAGGCATAAATTTGCTATCTGCATGATGCAGGTATCAAATTTATGTTCAAGTTGGCATAAGTCAACATATTTACTGCACAGTATGGGCATGCATGTGGAGATGCGTGCCTGTACTAGGCAGTAATTTCAGTTACTGCACAGTAAGTGCATATACATTGACGTGCTCAATAAGCAGTAAATTATTCTACTACACAGTAAAGCATCGTGTAGACACACCCACTGGGTGCATCTACGTATGCAATTCTTTGAAGCAACAAACTCCAGAATAGTTTCAGCCAGAATAAATTTCTTCCTGGCACAGCATCTACATGCATGCCCAGGACAGCAATTTGAGCTGGTGTGGAGAAGTTAATGTCAGTGCTGCTCCTGCCTTTCTCTGCCCTGGGCTCCAGGTGGCAGCTTCAAGCAGAAGTGGGGCTGGCTGGGGCACGAGGGTGCTGCAAGTGCAGATCTGTATGGCTAGATGGCAGGCAGGAGTCTGTCCCTTTGCTGGCTAGGCAAACCAGGTGCAATTTATACCTGCAGTTAACATCTACATGTGCATTTAATCACAGTTAATTACTCCACTGTAAGATAGTAGTGTCAGGAACAGTACTATCTTATGGTGTGTTAATTAGTTTACTGCAGCCTAATACCATTGCATGTGCAGATGATGATGCTTTACTCTGTAGCTAATTAGTCTGCTCCACAATAAATCACATGTGTAGACATGACCACTAATTTCTTGATGTATACCAGCCCTCTTCTGGAGCAGTTTGTATTCATATGAAACTTAGCTGAGCCATCTGTTCAACATCTGGTCATAAGCGGATTGTTCTTGAAAATGGTGTTCAGCTGTGGCTACATCTCTTCATTAGTCCAAATCTGGCCACGTGTTTTGTCAGCCTCTAACCAGCTTGATATATCCTTGCATGAAAGCCTTTTCAGAGATGCAATTCAAAGAGTGACTTGAAAAGCTAACAGTAATTTGCTGGTGACAGAAAAGTGGTTAAAAAGGGGTGAAATCCAGGGAAGTCCAAGCAGGGCCATCTGTAATCCTGATTCTGCAGCAGTTAAGTACAGAAAACTGATCACAGTCCAGTTGGGTAGTGCCTAAACCAGACTGTACAACTTTGGTGTGACTTCAGGAGGGGCCTCAGGTGACACAAGCATACGGTGTCTTAGGTAGCACCCCAAGCCACACACTGCATGGACTACACGTGGTGGAGTTTTCCCCACCAGGATCCTCCCCACCATGCAGGCTTCACTGGCAGCACACAGCCCCCCTGCCCCTCACAGGCATCATGTGCCCCCCCTTGCATCCTCCATGCTCCACCAGCGTGCACATGACCCCTCAGGCTACTTCCCTGCTATGCAGGAGTAGATGGACAGCCAGTTGGACAGCCCTGGCCTACTGCTGTGTGACATGGAGGTGGAAGGAACAAATCATGTAGGCTGAAGACAGACATTCAAAAAACCTGAGCCTGAATTGATTCACTCTTTGCAGGTTAGTCTAACCTGGCTAGGCTGAATGGGTTTGTAACTGTACAGACATTCCCACTGGACTGAGAAAATCCAGGAACATGCCTGCAGTGGCTCAGGCTAGAAGCTGGGAGGCACTAGAGCAACCCTCCCTCCCCTTGCATGGTGCTGAGCTGAGGGGGTGTGTGGCCAAGCCCCAGGAGGATGCTCTGATTAGGGAGGGGTTCCCCCCACCCCCTGCTCCTGACCAGCCCAGCAGGGAGTTGATAACAGCATTTAGCACCTCATCAAAACAAAACCTCTCTCATTAGTTCAAGCTTTTCTTAAGCACCCTTTTTCCAAGGAAGGAAAAGAGAGACATTACCAGCTGACCTGTTGATTAGCTCCAAAAAGCCCTAACCGGACACTGTTCTGTCTGCCTTTGTCCTGTCTGCCCTACACGGACACCTTTCACCATTAGCTAGCATACCACATGCTGGCTATGGCCCATGCTGTGGGAAAGGAGAAAGGGGCAACCCCTGCTTGAGCAGGGAGTGGTGGTGGTGGGGAGAGGGAGGCAGAGGCAAGCCAGGCAGATGTTGCTGTGCCTGCAGTCTCTGCCAGAGCTCCAGGCAGGGAGCAGAGGAGTGGGGCCAGCCCTGCTGTGGAACAGAGAGTCCTACCCGAGCCTGCAAAGCTCGAGATGCTGGAGGACTCTGGTTTAAGTTAAACCAGGAAGGGGTATGGGAACATCATTGCATAAACTGGTTTGACCCAAATCAGTTAAGTCTGATACTACATTCAACCAGGTTTATCTTGAACTGGTTTCAGCCACTTTCAAACTGGTTTATGGGCACTGAATGTCTGTTCTGTTATAGGTTTAAACCAGTTTCTGATCACTTAAACTGGTTTATGTGTAATATCTGTCCCTAGCCTATGGTTTGCAGTCCACATTAGTACGGCACAAATGCAGATGGACATGGTAGTATACAACATGCTCATAGAACCATATCATAGAATCTTAGAAGTAGGGTCAGAAGGGACCTTGTAGATCTTCAAGT